TGTATGTCGTATAGACACTAGTCTTGTTCGTAACTATGCACACTCGGGGAGTACTGACAGTATTGATAGGCAATACGACTTTCTGCTCCTATTATACTTTTACGTATTGCACTGCAGGCTGAATGGATTATCTTATCAGCAGGGAGTGGACTTGTTATCACGTGATTCATCAACGGACGTTCAATTATTGGAAGCCTTCGGTACACATATACGTGTGTCTGTACCAATATGGTTTGACAAGCAACCCTTGTCGACGCGTGAACTTTTACCTGACACCGGCTGGCTTCGAATAAATTGAATACCGGTTCCGGTGGGTGGCTGTTGTCTTCCTAATAACGGACGATTTTGAGTAGTCCTTGATGTCGGAAATTCCGCATAATTCATACAGGGTGTACCCATTAATGGTGCAGTCGGACTTAAAAATGTTAATGCCAGTAAAAAAAAGTCGACCAATCGTAACGATGTACCGATAGTAATTTCAGTATGTAAAACTGTATATTATAAATAAAAAACGTATGTATGCTAATAAAATGAAATCATCATGTTCATATATTTTTTGTTAATTTACCCATGCAAGACATTTTACTTATTTGTTGAACACCCTGTAGTGTGCTTTGGGTATAAATCTGCAAGTAAAAAAATTATATTTTCAAAGGGCAATTCTTATGGGGAATATTCTTCGGATTCGCTCCTCGACTCGCGAGAGTTGGCATAACCGCGCGCCCGGTCGCCCAACCAGATGCTGGTATTATATATCTCAGAGCATGACTGCTTTCTCTCGGCCCCGGGGTTCGCAGGACTGACCCGCCGCCATGTTACGGAGATTGATTGCTTTATCGGTAATTAGCTTGGCGGAGCAAAGTCAAAGCTTTATTCAAAAGAGATTGCACAGTGCGAACTTGTTCCAATGGAAAAATAATGCCGGGTTCACAGAGTTCAATACGAATCGTCTGAATCTTGAAATCGTCCGATCGTTAACGACTTGGATAAAAGCTTTTTTTTTCTTTTTCATTTCTTGATACGCCTCACCCAATTTGTTAAGGATACAACGTTCCAGCAGTTTCTTGTTTCATTCTTAAACTTGATATTCCCATCTGGAGTGAGATTGAGATAAATTATATCACTCGTAATTGCCTTCTGAGATCATCAATTTACTAATGTATTCAATATCGTAGATCGCATTCGTTTCGCAAGCGGACGCGGTGTCCCACTTGTTCGCAAATTGGCGGTTTCGCTTATTAATGACCATATATACACGCGTATATATGTACGTATTAAATGGGTATTTAATCGATGCGTTTTCGGTACGGACAACCTGCCGATTCTCAGGTCGGACCTTTCACCTCAACGCGTTAGTCACGACTTCCATTTCCCGTACGTTTTTTCGTGCATCACGTTTCACGTACATTTCAGAAGGCAGAACCGACGGGCATTCAAAGAAAGCGAAACTAACGAGAGGGTCGTGTCGATTGGCCACCATTAAATTTGAATATTTACAGCCTCGTTTCGTGTCATACTTACGACGACCTATCGAAAGCGAATAGTCGATAATCAAACGATACTATAGTAAATCATGGCTAATCAGGTTTTCAACGGTAATCGCTCCACATAAATAGCAAGCAGTTTATAAAGGATGCCTAAAATATACTTACGAGACTAATGAAATGAATAATACCAAAAAAGTTTTTTTTAACAAAAAATCATTAACGATATTCTAAAGGAAAAAAAAAATCAATACCCGTTACAATACCGTATCGCTACGTGACTACGCATTGTGTACGACGACAATAGCACAGCGAGTTGACAACAAAAGATTTTTCTTTCGCAAAAACGACAGGAGAGTCGCGTATAATTGATAAAGTCCCCATAATGCAATACGGTGGTGGTTCGCATGTGCGCCACGTTTCAGCGAAACCGATCGCGCGACTCCAGAGCCAAGCGGCCGTCGGGTCTAGCATACAGAGAGCGCCGAACGCCCAGGCGAGAGTAGCAGCAGCGAGCGTCGCGACGACAGAAAAGCTCCGGCGTACTCTGAGACTCGCAGCGTATACTGTCGGGTTCGAAAAGCCGTCGGTTCTAAAAATACGGTACGCGTAGGCACGGCGCATAACTCGCGAATAATACGGTATTTTATATTCGCGTACGTGAGCGCAGCGTAAGCAATATACACGCCCTGAGTATAAGGCATATATTCACTATGAAGAGTCTTTGTTCCGTATACTATAGTACTAAGCTAATCCTCTCTTCCCCTCTCTCTCTCTCTCTCTCTCTCTCTCTCTCTCTCTCTCTTTCATTATGGTCAAACAATTAAAACAAATCGTTACCTTACTCTTACCTATCCCTACCTGCACAAGCTATTCGGCACTGTTACGGTACCCGAGAGAATTATCGAACTGCGACCATATTGGCTAATTCGTAACGAATTAAAGTGACCTCGAATAATAGACAGTAGAAAGAGTATAGCATGACAATCGGCTAATGAAAGAACGACGAGACCGCCCCGTGGCGCTAATGCGCCAGAACCTAATGATTCCCGTGAATTAAGGCGTGACGAGTGGCTTCGTTCTCCGAGCAGCGCCATGACAGCCTGATAACTACGAAAGTCAAAACAGACCATAGGCACGAAGCACGTAAGTCACGCGGACGGTATAAATGTAAAAGAAAAGAAATCGAGAGATAATAACAGAAAGTAAGACATTCATATTCATATATATTAGTAATAAAGGACTTTAAGATGTCTTCCTAATGGATTTCAATATGACGCATTGTTGTCGTAGCGCTTTCTAGAGTCATGTGATCCGCTCGTATCTCTCTATCTATCGGCTATGTTTATATTATATGAATTCAATCGAAAGAATCGTGTTTGCCTTTCCAGCGAATTATTGCATTGCGATATCGTGTACCGTATATATATATATATATATATATATATATATATATATATATATATACACGTATAGATATAAAGTATACAGAGTGTAATGTGTACGTACACGCAATGCACGCGCACGAGAATATCCAACTGGTGGTCTCTTACTTGACTTGCTCTCTTTAGAACGGCGTTGCTCGAACGCCTTGCCACTTATAGCTTTATGACTTTCAGGCTGTTTTCATTGTTTTCGTTATTTTTATTGTGCCTTTGTATCGGCTCGCACTCGATTTATTTACAGGCCGTGGCTGCACTTGATGACTCATAGCTAACGCCATTACACGCGGCATATAAATACCGATACC